ACTGGTAACTAGCCAGAAGATTATGTGAAATCTAGCACTAGTTATCATTAGCAGAAAACAAAAAAACTCTAAAAAAATAAAATACTGCCTCTTGAGAGTAGAATTGTTTTTGAGTTGAAGATGAGAAATGTGTTTGTTTTATAACAGTTATGTTTAGAGATAGCCTTCACATAGGAAATTTTCTTTTTATTTGTCTTCTCTGTTCCAAGTTATTGCCTAGTGCCATTACCAGTCACTAGACCTCTTAGAGCAGGCTCCATTGCTGGAAACCCCAGGGGCCAATCTTATCTTTGAAACCTCCACTGCTCTAAATCAGTCCTCCAGTCTATGCCCCCTCCCAAAAAGACATATTTTGCTAGAGAAAGTTCCTTGGAAGAAAGAAGCTTCCTAAAAAGGCAATTTTCTACGGATGGAAATGTTGTGGGAAAGAGTTTTTTTTTTTACTATAATAAATTTATATATAAAGGTTATATTAAAATAAATAATAGATTTAACAATTTTGTTTAAATATATTTTTTCAAAAATATTTAATTTAATAAATATAATTATAATATAATAAAAGTAAGAAGAGATATAAAAAAACAAAAAAAAAAAGAAAACTACTATAGGCATTTTCTTATATAATTGAATAATAAATAAAACTTAAGATTTACTTTCAATAAAAAATAAAAATATTTTTTTTGCTTAAGATTACTATAAAAAAAATTTTTTTAACAAAATAAATATAATTAAGAAAAAGTTGATTCTTATATCAAGTAAATAAATCCATATTGTATTTTTTGTTAAGTTGATTCAACTTGTAAAAAAGATTAAAAAAATCTTGTTTTATAACTTTATAACTTGATTTTTTTTTACAAATAGGCCACTAATCTAAATTATACCAATATTAAAAAAGATACTAGTAATCAAATAAATTTAATAAAGAATAATATAATAGCAGATAAGTAGTTCAGTTTTTTTATTTGTGTATAATTTTGATATGATATATTCATATCATTAAATGTTTATAAATCACATGATTATCGGAATTTACATATCAACCTAACTGATTAAGTGATTCCAACATATCTTTGAAATGACTGAATTGAGAAGATTTAAAGCTACAGACCTATTTCGTTTCAATAACGTGTGGGTTTTAAAAACGAATAAAATAGCGTCGTTTTGTTCTGTAAATTTCATTGAAATAACATTAATATCATTTGTTTGAGATATTTAGGAATATTGACGTCTTAACAGAAACGGTAAGTACTTTTTTTTTTCGTGCTGATTTATTATGAATATATAAACTCATATCGAAGTTAAAATGTTTAATTTAACAGTATAACATTTCTTTCTATTTGTCCTATCTTGCACGATGGCCGGACCTTTTTTGTGTGGAAGAATCACCGAGTGGCACTATAATGGGATATAGTTGAGTTGACACTTCAAACTAAAATAAATTATTCCTTCCAACCATTTTATTAAATCCACACATTAATTGATAGTAATGGGTAAAGCAGAAGGACGTGGCAAAGAATGGCATGGCCACGTAACGGCTATTACTGTTGCACCTGAATATCGACGATTGGGTTTAGCCGATGAAATGATGAAATTGCTAGAAAACGTATCAGAGAAAATGTATATGCTAGGTTTTTTTAAAAAATTGTTTTATTATTGCGTCTATTAACTAATTAAAATATTGATTAAAAGTTACGAAGGCTATTTTGTCGACCTCTTTGTTCGCGTCTCAAACACTGTTGCAATTAAAATGTACAGGCAGTTTGGTTATTCTGTATACAGACGTGTTGTTGGCTATTATTCTTCTGGAGATAATACTGAAGAGGATGCTTTTGGTATATTTTTTATATGGAATTATATTTACTTTTGACAAACATATTCTTACTTTTGTATTTGTAGATATGAGAAAACCATTGTCAAGGGATGTTAGAAAAGAAAGCATAATCAAGAATGGAGAAAATAATCTCATAAATCCTGACGACTTGTAGAGCATTAAAGAAGTAATATAAAGTAAGATTAAAATCAAAGCGTTTTTGTGTGCTTTTCATAGGAGGATCAAATCATTTTTAATGTCAAAATTTTTCCTTACGAAACATTAATTATTATTATATATGTAAAAAAATAGCATATTTAACGAAGTTTATTAGCCAAGTTCGAACATTAAAGTTTTGAAAGTACGAAGTTGTGTGAGGTAATCATCAATTTTTAAATAGTCATGTCAATCGGTAAATTGTTAATTAAACAACCACGGAGCTTTCCATCTGTTGAGACAAAGACCTAAAACCGTCTCTCTCAGTATAGCATAGTTTTCGCTTGAATTAAACTACTTAATGTTCAAGTGGATGGTTTGCCGTGGAAGACTAAAATCGTATTTTGAATTTTTTTTGATATGCATTATATTATTTAAATGTCAAAGAAAAAGGTCAAAATACAAACAATTGTAAAAAATCCTTATAAGCTATTAACAAAAATATTATTCGTTTTTAATTTACCTATATATTGTACGAAATATACAGTAGAATTGAAAATAGAAGGGTATGTATTAAACAGCAATTTTATGCAATATATTAAGGTTCTTGTTTAATCTACTTTTAATTAGCCATTAATTGTAGATGATATTGATTTATTTGCGTGTTGCCTTATGGTTATTGGAATATTCTTATTTAATAAAATGTATTTTATTTCTTATATACCAATATACATCTAAATTTTATTGTAATGTATTACAGTTCAATATCAAATACAAATAAAATAAAAAATTTTGCTATTACATAATTTATTTAAAGGGTTTTTGAACAAATTTATTAAAATTAACTTTATATTAAAAAATTATTTTAAAAATATTAATTTAATCAAATTATAATTGGTTTATATCAATTCTAAAAAGATAATAAAAAAAATGTCAAAAGTTCTCATGTATAAGATAATTGTGATCATCATTGATTCATCAATAAAGTCTATGCATATATCACAACTTAGCCTTTTAAAAAAAAAAATGTCAAAAGTTAACTTTATTTTAATAATTCAAAAAATCAATTATCTAATTGGGTAATTATTTTTGAAGATGAACCAAAATTTAAGGTATAATTTTATTACCCTAAAAAAATATAACCTTAAATTTT